CCGATGCGGGACTCGATCCCGGGACTCCAGGATCATGACCTGAGCCGAAGGCAGTCGCTTAACCAACTGAGCCACCCAGGCGCCCTAAGTTTACTTCTTTAAGTAATCTCTACACCCTATGTGGGGCTCGAACTCACAACCCCAAGATCAAGAATCGAGTCACATGCTCTTCCAACAGAGACAGCCAGGTGCCCCACGTTGGTTATATTTTAAGTAAGATGCAGAAATGTGGACAGAGTTGTGATTATTTTTCCAAATTTATTGAGATATAACTGACATATAACATTATATAAAATTAAGGTATACAATGTAATGATTTGATATATATGTACATATATCAAATAGAGAGAGAGAGAGAGAGGGAAAGAAAGAGAAATGATTACTACGATAGGGTTAGGTAACCCCTCCATCACCTCAGATAGGTACCATGTTCGCACTTGTGTGTGGTGAGGACATTTAGGATCTGCTCTCAGCATCTTTCAAGTATATGATACAGTGTTGATGTAACTATAGTTACCACACTGTGCCAGTATTATGTCTCCAGAATGTACGCCTCTTTTTTTTTTTTTAAAGATTTTATTTATGCATTTGAGACACAGAGATACAGAGAGAGAGAGCATGAGCAGGGGAGAGGCAGAGGGAGAGGGAGAAGCAGGCTCCCCGCAGAGCAGGGAGCCCGATGCGGGGCTCAATCCCAGGACCCCAGGATCATAACCTGAGCCGAAGGCAGACGCTTAATGACTGAGCCACCCAGGTGCCCTAGAACTTACTCCTCTTAAAACTGCAAGTTTGTGACCTTTGACCTACATCCCCCCATTTCCACCCCTGCCCCCCGAGGACAGCATTCTTCCTTCATTTAACAAGTATTTCTTGAACACCTGCTGCATGTTAGTTGAACAATTATAGTCAGAACATGTTCATAATCTGAGTCAGCTTTGAGGGACATCTCCGGTAGTTCCATCCATGGCCTTGTCCTGTTTTCACACTTTTATGTAGAAAGACAAAAGGCGGCCCTGTCAAGGGTCACTATAGTCAAGGAGGTGGCATCACGGTGTGAAAAGACTTCAAGGTATTAGATAAAAATGGGGGCGCCCGGCCGGCTCAGTCACTGGAGCGTGAGACTCTTGATCTCAGGGTTGTGGGTTTGAGCCCACATTGGGTGGAGAGGTTACTTAAAAATAAAATCTTTAAAAATATATAATACATAGAAATAGTGAAGGTGTTCAGCTTTACCCTTACAATTATGTACTGTTACCTAATAAACCACCTTAAAACTTAGTGGCTCAAGGGGCACCTGGGTGGCTCGGTTGGTGAAGCGTCCACTTGTGATTTCGGCTCAGGTTGTGATCTTAGGGTCATGGGATTGAGCCCCGTGTTGGGCTCTGTGCTCAGCGGGGAGTTGGCTTGAGGTTCTCTCTCTTCCTCTGTCCCTCCCCTCCCTCTCTAAAATAAAATATAAATCTAAAAGAACCCACTTATGACTCAAAACAGCAATAACAACGCGATGATTCTGATTGTGGTTCTGGCCCTGGCTGAGCTCAGCGGCTGGAGACCCTGCAGAGCCTCCCTCACCTGGCCAGGTGAGAGTGGGGGCGTCAGCTACATGTCACAAGGACACGGACCCCTGACTTCTCCACGAGACCTGCGCATCCTCACGGCATGAGAGCAGGCTTCCGAAAGCAGACGTCCCAGGACCAGCGGAAGTCCCAGCATTGTCTATGACGTCACTATAGAAGTCATGTAACCTCAGGGCGCCTGGGTGGCTCAGTCGTTGGGCGTCTGCCTTCGGCTCGGGTCCTGGGATCGAGCCCCGCGTCGGGCTCCCTGCTCAGCGAGAAGCCTGCTTCTCCCTCTCCCACTCCCCCTGCTTGTGTTCCCTCTCTCGCTGTGTCTCTCTCTCTGTCAAATAAATAAAATCTTAAAAAAGATTTGAGGGGAGGGACATAGACGTCACCTCTCAATGGCGGGAATGCCAATGTCATGATAAGAGCATGGGGAAGGGGGATTGTGTTATGTCCATCTTAGAGAATACAGTCTGCTACATTCATTAATCATCAAACAAATGAAAACTAAACAACGAAAAATACAGTGCAAGTGTTTTTCAAATTTATAATCACGTTAATTTGTATCGCGTCCTTCTGTATCAGGCCAGGAGCTAAGCTGCCCGGATGGGCACCCCCGAACCTCAGAGCAAGAGTCTCAGTGCCGGGGGCACCCCGCTGCCTCAGCCAGAAAAGCGTGCCACTCGATCTCGGGGTCATGAGTTCGAGCCCCATGTTGGGTGTAGAGATTACTAAAAACAAATAAATAGATCAACTGAGAAAACGAAGTCTCAGTGCTGGACCGAGGCTGTCTGCGTCGGCTGCTAGCAGCGGGTGGCTCAGCTCAGGACGTATGTCGCACCGGCTTAGTAGGGAAAACTCTGCTGCACAGAGTGACCCGGGGCCCCGGCTGATGGAGGCCCTGCCGTCTCCTCACCTTGCTCCCTCTGGAACAGACAGCACACCAGGGACAGGAAGACTGGGGAACCACATCCGGGATTGTTGATGCCCGAGCCTGGAAGCAACGCGCTGTGCTCGTACTCAGTGCTCACATTCCCTTGGCCCAGCTGGGCCCATCTGCGGCAAGGGTCTGGCAGCCGAGCCAACGGGCTTTGGGCAGTGTTGGGTGGCCTCTGCCCCATCTCGCTGGGCACCTAGAAGGCCATGCACGGGGTGTCCTTCTGCCTTCCCTGTCACACCTTTCTCCAGATAGCAAGACGGCTTCCCACTCCTCCTTCCAAGTCAGGCCTGGGTGTCTTTTCCTCGGGGAAGCCTCTACTGGTCACACTGATGAAACTGCAGCCCATCCCTCATTCCTCTCCTTCACCCGTGTTGTCCCTGATCCCGCTCTTTCCTTTCTCCGAAGCACTTACTGCCTCTGACGGAGTGAAGTATCCGTCTTCCCCTGCCCGCTGTTGCTCCGGGAGGGCGCTGGTCCTCGGCTGCTTGGCTTCCTGACGGATCCCAGCGCCTGAGACAGGGACCCGCACTTAAAGGGCGCCCGGGGGCTCCGTCGGTGAAGCGTCTGCCTTCGGCTCAGGTCGTGATCCCAGGGTCCTGGGACTGAGTCCCTCGTTGGGCTCCCTGCTTGGTGGGGGGGTCTGCTTCTCCCTCCGCCCCTCCCCCTGCTCATGATGTCTCTCTCTCTCAAATAAATAAATAAAATCTTAAAAAAAAAGTATTTGTCGAAGGACTGAATTTTTTTTATGGGGGAGGGGAGGGGGAGAGAAAGTCTTTTTTTTTTTTTTAATTTATTTATTTGACAGAGACACCGTGAGGGGGAACACAAGCAGGGGAAGTGGTTGGTACAGATTTTGCTGGATGCTACGCCACATGTAAAAAGATCCTTTATAAAGCACACACCCTTTGATGCAGCAACTTCCCTTTTAGATATAGAGTCCAAGGAAATACACACGGACACAAAGATTTAGGTACAAGGATGAATCAGGAAGTAATCTGTGTAAGCAACAAAGCGTCGGGCTCAGGAACATCAGCAAACGGGGAGCCGTTGGGAGGTGCTGCGTGGCATTCAGGTTTGTCAAGTGTGGGATGACTTGATCTGGGGGAGATGACAGTCTGACCCCTCTGGGGATCCTGGTGCCAGAAGCTGGTGGCTGTCTCCGCAGGGTGCTGCGAGCGGGTGACTCAGACCAACTGGCTTCCCTTCCTGGGTGCCGCCCTCAGAATTCAAGTTCCCACGGCCCAGGGGAAGGAAGTCTGAGTGTCTGCTCTGGAGTCCTGGGCCCACGGTCCTGGGTGGTGGGAGGCAGATCCGCTAACCGTCAGCCCCACGGTTGCGTGGAGGGGGGGATCAGTTCCCCAGTCAGGAAGAGACCCAGAGAGGACAACACCACTAAGGGTTTGTCACACAGCATTCTTCTATCAAAACATAAACCTTCTAGATGGTTGGGGTTTTTGTTGTTGTTGTTTTAAGTAGGCTTTATGCCCAACTTGAGGCTTAAACTCAGGTCCCTGAGATCAAGAGTCGCCTGCTCTACTGGCTGAGCCAGGCTGGCGCCCCTGGAATACCCCATTTAATATGAGAAAGTGTTTACAATGGAAATGGAAATAAACAGGTTTTAAAATAAGATGCACAGCATGATTCTAATTACAAATATGGTTGAAAGAAAAGACATCAAAGTGTTACAAGTGGTTATCATTTTGTAATTGTATCATGAATTATTCTTACCCCTTTTTTGCTTTATAAATATTTCCCAAACTTTCTATGATGAATATATAATTAGGGAAAAAAAAACCCAATAATTTTTTAAAAGTTCATGCTCGGTGCGCCTGGGTGGCTCAGTCGTTAAGCATCTGCCTTCTGCTCAGGTCATGATCTCGGGGTCCTGGGATCAAGTCCCACATCGGGCTCCCTGCTCCACGGGAAGCCTGCTTCTCCCTCTCCCCCTCCCCCTGCTTCTGTTCCCTCTCTTGCTGTGTCTCTCTGTCAAATAAATAAATAAAATCTTTTTTTTTTTAAAGATCATGACCTGAGCCGAAGGCAGACGCCCAACGACCGAGCCACCCAGGCGCCCCTAAATAAAATCTTTAAAAAAATAAAAAAAGTTCATGCTCTTTGGGGAGCCCAGCTGGCTCCATCCAGAGAGCATGGGACTCTTGATCTCGGGTTGTAAGTTTGAGCCCCACATTGGGTGTAGAGATTACTTAAATAAATAAATGAACAAACTTTAAAGAAAAAAAAAAAGTTCCTGCTCGTTGATCTAGTTATTTCTGTTCTAGCATTCTATTCTAAGGCGATAAGTTAGAAACAGAAAGCTCTCAGACACAGATGGCCATTCCAGACTTTAATAGTGAAACTGGAAACCAGCAGCTTACCATTGCAGGGATGTTAACTGCATTAAACGTATGAGCTCCATCATAGACGTGAAGAAATTTTTTTTTTTAAGATTTTATTTATTTATTTG